CACCTTTAGGTTGTTTTATACTTTTGATTTGTCCCTCATTAACTTAACATGGACAGCCTTCATCATCACATAGTATTTAACTGGGATAGAAATGCAAATTGAATGAACCATTTAGGACTAACCTGCTCTTATGGTACACATTCATTTTATAAGATGACGAGCTTCGGAGATTATTTCAAGAAATTTTACTATATCGATATATATTTTTTTAAATTTTGATTATCATTGACAGTTATTCTTTCTTTCATTTCATGTATGTTCTTACGATGAAATTAAAAAGGTGTTATTATTATTATTTATTATTATTTATTATTATTATTACCAACGTTACTGTTATTATAATGAATTTTTTTTATTATTTTTAATATTTTACAAAATAATTATTTTTTCTGTCAAACTTCAGCATGGGCGCAAGCATTGAAATGTAAGCTCGTGAATGCGAAGCGCGATTCAAAACGATGATTGCTGTTGTTGTTGTTGATGTTGTTTTTGCTGCTGTTGTTGATAATGTTGTTGTTGTCGTTGTTGCTGCTGCTGCTATAATTGTTGTTGTTGTTTTTGTGTTTTTTTTGTCCAGTGCACCGAAGTAAATTAGTCAATAAATTTCAATGCTTGCTAGGGACAAAAAATATTTTTCAGTTTTTGGTGTGTTTTGTAAAGCATTCAATAGCTAATGATTGTGTATGTGTGCATGTGTGTGTGTGGGTGTGTGTGTGTCTGTGTTCGTTTGTTCAAGCGTGAGTATGTGTGTTTATGTGTGTGTGTTTGTTTGTTTGTTTGTTTGTTTGTCTGTGTATGTGTGTGTATATTTTCACGTATTTGTTTGCTTTTTTTATTTATACATTCAATCTTTTATTTAATCAATCAATCAATCAATCAATCAATTCTTTTATTTATTTTTTCAATCCTATAATTAAATTTAATTAATTAATTAATTAGCTCTGATTAAAAATTAAAATACTTCTTTATCAATTAATAAACAAAATAAAATATAAAAATAATTATAACAAACCAAACCAGCCGCATGAAAACTTAAACTGAACAACTAACCCAACCATTCAGCTATCCATTCTGGCATATCTCCGTCCGATCCGTAACTAGATAATTAATTAATTCATTGATTAATTCATATATAAATATATATATATATATATATATATACATATATAAATCACTACAAGTTGAATAATGCCGAAAACGCAGTGATCTTTATAAATAATTGTAATTATGATAGTCTAAACCCAATATATATATATATATATATATATATATATATATATATATATATATATATATATATATATA